TGCATTAAGGAAGATTTGTTTATTTCATTTTAAACTAGGGCTACCACAGCAACATATATTTTTGGTGCTCATAAAAATCTGAGAAAATTACAGTAGCCTATTACTACTCTAAGTAGACTACCATAAAATTTTCATGGCATTTAGATAAGTAAAATAGCCTATACAAAAATGACAAGGCATAAATGCTTAAAAAGCCATAAATAGGAAACCTTAGTTAGAAGTGCCAAGAAACAGATTTCATATTTTTCCTAACATCCTTAAGGTACTGATATACTCCCCATAAAATTTCATGGTCATAGGATTCCTAGATAATTTACAAAACTTCACACAAGTACCAATCAATGATGAAAGGAAAATCTATAACTCAAAAACTATACATGCAATGACTCTCAAATTTTTACCAGAACTTCTACTAAGCAAGAATAGCTCACCCACAAAATTTCATAATTTTTGGAGCACAGAAACTCAAGATATAATGTAAACAAGTTTGCATGCATTTAAAAACACATTTCAAGTTCCTATTTAAATCATCCAAAATTCCTACATCATGTGCTCATATCATATTTTTCTTAAATACTAGACTTCTCTGTGATTCTAACAAAATTTGAATCACACCATTTGGATCTACACATTTGGAGTTACAAAATTCACAAAACAGCATTCAAATCAGCAATTTTGAACTAGCCCTATGAACAACAATCACTAACGCGTGGGACCCGCCTGTCAGCCGGACCCGCTTGTCAGTGAGACAAAAATAGGGGAGGCGCACACGACGGCGCGGCAACGGCGAAGCTCGCCGACGGCGGCTCCTCCGACGAAACCGACGGCACCGGCGTGCTCCCCACAACGATGCGCACCCATTCATGCCCTCACTTCAACCTCTACCGAACCCTAGCAAGGACGACGGCGTGCATGGCGGACGGCGGCGCAGTCCGACGGTGCTCCACGTGAGGTTCGGCCCTGTGGGACACGGCTAAGCTCGATATGAGCTTTAGGAGGTCACCATGATACTACCCAAACAAATAGAAGAGGATGGAAGAGTTCCTAGCTACCCCGACCACGGCGGCCTCAACTCCGGCGAGGACACGCCCATGGCGGTGGTGGCGGGAATGGTCAATGCGCCCTTACCAAAGCTCAATCGGCTCAGCTAAGAGATGGAGGAGGTAGAGGAGAACACGACGGAGCTGTGGTGAAGATGTAGTTCGCTTTTTTGCGGCGGCGAGCAAGCACGAGCTCGTCGGAGTTGCTGCGGAGCTTCGGGCGAGCGGAGAAAGGAAAAATGAAATGGCGAGCGCGTTAGGCAGGCGGGCGCGAGTTCAAGTCATGGCCAGCAGCGCCAGGACGGCCACGGCGCGTGGCTTGCGTGTCAGGCTATCGGCGACGAGTGTCCCCCCATGCGGCGGTAGCTTTCTAAACCCGGTCGGCACTGTAGCGTGTCTGAAACTCGATTCAGATTCCAAATGAACCGACTGACAGGCGAAGTTTGACAGTGATTAACTCCTAATCTGTGATGATATAGCGCAAGGTATAATTGACAAATTTGAACATCTACATGTGAACTACAACTTGTACAATTGGAGCTCGAGCTGGTTCGCCCTGGTTATGGAGATACAAGGCTCCAAACATCGATACTTGAATTTGAAAATCAGTGCTCAGACTTAGAAAAATTCTAAGTCACCAAATTGCCCCCAAAACTAACTTGCGGGACCATTTTGAGCATGTTGTGCATGTTTTCATGACTTGGCTTCTAAACAAAGTTTGTTCCTTATAAAATTTGCTACAACTTTGTTTTAGGTTGCTCCGACATGCAAACACTCTACGCTACACTTTCTAAACAGTCAAACACAAGAGCGTCAGGGGTCAACACAAGTCAAACTATTACTTGGAAGTGTAATTAGGCAATATGGTCAACATGAACATTGTTCCAAATGACATTCTAGGTGTGACTAAGTGGTTTAAGAAAATTATTAGCCACATCACACATTGGTCACCCAAGAATCAAGCACTGCATGTACTAAGATAATGAAAAACAATTGAAAGGTTACATTTGTTTCATAGTCATGTTTCACACGTTTTATTAGTATGTTTCCATTCTATATTTCATGTCATGCTTATGGATGCATAATAATGATCATGCTCATGATTTGCAAAATGTTAATGCATGCTTAACACCGAGGTCGCAGGCACGGCGCCATGCCGCAGATTCACCGCAGTCGCGGCCGAAACCTGTGCTCCCCCGCCGCAATGTCACCTGCGCTCGCCTCGCCCCCGCCGCCGCCTTGCCCCCAGTTCACCGCATGGTGCCTCCGTCGCAAGCCGCCACGCCCCCACCGCCGCCTCGCCCCCAGCATGCCGAACTTGAAGAAGACATGATGAGATTTTGGAGATTGGCAGATGCGGACGGGCCTAGTTGCATAATGTCACCTACGGTCGGTATTCAAACATGCGGCGCACGTGCTGCCACGTCGCCTGGAGGCCGCGCCAGATGGGAAATGGGCCTCCGGTGAACCAATTGACAAGTTCAGGGGCACGTTATCCGCGTTTGCAAGTTGGTGGACCGGAATGGCACAGGCTCACAAGTTAAAGGGCCGCCAGTGTATTTCACTCCTTTAGGATTTACACATGTGACATTTTTAGAGACGGTGATGTTTATCGCTGTCTCTAAAACTAAAAAGGGTTGTCTGTAAATATTAATTTTATAGTAGTATCAATATAAGTGCTTGCATTTACAGTTAATAATTATTCTTTTAGTAATAGATGGTGCTCGTGGGTGTCGACAGGGCTCATCTTTCTCTTAACTAGAGGCAGTGACAGAGATATGACATGCATGCGGACATTCATATATAGAACCGAGCTAGTACGTGTGCTTGAATCTACTGTATTATATAAAAAGTTCTATCATTTTGTGTAAAAAAAAGAATATGTGGTGAGCGCGCAGGAAGACTCATGTCTCTCGATCCGTGATTGGCTACCTGCCTACCAGCCATGCGGTGGACATTTCAGTACACCCACCCATCCATTAGTTCCGCTTCCTGTCTTCCACGCACCTAGGAGTAGCTACGAAGAGAAGAACAAATCTGATCAAGATTGTGACCCTCAAGCTATGATGTTGCCCAGTCAAGCCGATAGCCCGTAACGTACGTAGGTAAGGAAAGAGAGAAAATATGTTATATATGTTGTCTTTTTAGCGTTTTCATTAGTATAGGAGCATTTTATTAATAGATCGGTCACTTGTCCTATTGTAATAGGTGTTATTATCTCTTTTTCCTCCTTATTACACCTAGCTAGTATACATTTATAGTTCTATTTTTTTCTAGTTTTTTGTTTTATTAGCCATTAGTTATGTGGTTCTAAGTCGTCTCGCTCCTCCCTCCATTCTAAATTACAAGTTGTTTTGGCTTTTCTAGATACATAGACTTGCTATACACGTAGATATACATTATGACTTAGGCCTGGGTATTCGGTTCCTCGGTTCTTGAAGAAATTCGGTTCCTAGGCAATGGGAAACAATCGGTTCTGAAAATTGTTGGGAACCAAGCATTTTGGTTATTGGTTGTTTCGGTTCGGTTTCGGTTCTAACTGAACTTTTTTAGCATAGGTTAAGAAAACAAAAAGATATGCAAGTTCTAAAGCAAATTTGAGTTTTCGGTTGAGATAATAATAAATGATAAGGAAACAATAGCTGATAGTAACACAAATATATAGCAGTTCAAATATGAGACATCACGCATAAACCAAGCATGGTCTTACAAAATGCAATTAAGTAAAGTACAATTCATATGTAACATGTGCAACGCAACGGTTAATTGATTTTTCTCATAGAAACGTGTACAATGGATCGATATTTTAGGTTATGGAAATGCTATGTGTCAGACGTCCGACAGATGACACAAATGTCAGACGGCTTTAAACCCTCGCCGCTCACTCCTGCCCACATGTATATTAAAAAAACTTATTCCTTCGCTTCCTTCTCCCCATCCTTACCCCTTCCGCGCTCCTCATCCCCTGCCACAGCGCACCAACGCCCGACATCCTCCCCCACCGGGAGCCCCCAATGCCCGCAAATCCGGCGGCCCTCTCCCCCACCCCGGCGTGGCACCCTCCCCACCTCCGGTGGCATCCTCTCTCACCTTGGCCACCAATCTCCCCCACCCCAGTGGCCATGGTGCTCCCTGCTCCTCATCCCCCATTGTCACCGCCGAGCCAAGCCCAGTGCTGGTGGCGCTGGTGGTGGTGGTGCTCGCACGCGCCGCTAGTGCTGGTGCTAGGTGAGCTCACCACCGGCTCCCACCTCATCGGCTGGAATCGACAGGCCTATGCCTCTCTCCCCCTATGTTGCAAATGTATGTTTCAATTGTTTCAGACGTTTCAGAGATATGCTGCAATTGTTTTCCATGGAGTTGCAAAAGTAGATCGGAGGATGTTGCACATGTTGCAAGTGTTTCAGAGACACGTTCACTACAAGAATAGTGTTGATCTGTGACAGTTTTTTGTGACAGATTTTTTTTCCATCACAGGTCACCTAAACTAGACATGGGCTCTCTTGAAGCCCAACCTTGGGCCTAGTTTCTGTGACCATATTCAAGAACCATCATAGTTTCACAACCGAACCAAATCCGTGACATTTTTAAATTCGTCATGACGTGCCATTGCCACATCGGGAGCCAGCATGGCGTGCTGACATGGCCATGAGCCATTCCATTGTTAAATGTCTGGTTCAAAAAATAGTGCGGCGCTTGAGAGTCGAACCTGAGACGTCTCACTTCCCATGCCGCGCACCTTACCACTACACTACCTCATTCTGTTGTGCTAGAGACTAGAATAGATATCCCATATTGAAGCATCATTGGCTATAGCAATGTAATCCCTAATCCCTGAATCCCTTTGACAGCAGAGCACATCGTTGACTATGGTACCTCGCCGTGCCGCTCCCACACACCTCGCCGCGCCACCGCCCCAATCCATCTCGTCGTGCCGCTCTGATAGCAGACCACGCCACGATGAGGATAGGTCATCCAAAGGCCAGCGACGGTGAATCACGTCGTGACCAGGAGTGCGGACGTCCCCAGCCCAGCGACGGCGGGTCGCGCGGTGGGCCACTGATAGAGGAAGGCAACTGGATCTATGGGCTAAACGACAGCTGCAGCAATCGCTCTCCACCATCCCTTCCTGCCGCCTGCCGCCTTGCTGCAAGGTGACTTCCCTTCCCGCCGTCGGCTGCCTTCCTCCATACTTGCCATGTATGCCATCTTCTCTCTGATTCTCTTGTACTATAGCATATCAATTGTGTGCACGCTTATTAAATTATGTGTTTCCGCAATGCATGTTCAGATGGATAGAAGTTGGGTGCACATCACACTATTTTCTACTCAATATGTCAATGGTGTCAAAGAATTTATGGATTTCATTAAAGAAAAATATGCTAAGGATGATCAGATTCTCTGCCCATGTACTAGATGCCTTAATCAGAAGTACCTGCATCAGCCCAATATGAAGAATCACATTTTGATGAATGGCATGGACTGTACATATACTCGGTGGGTACATCATGGAGAGGACATTAGTGTACATGTTAATGAAGTCCCTGCTTCTGTTCCTGTTTTTGACACTGATGAGGGTTCCATTGGTGTGGCTGAGAATGACAACAATGGTGGTGATCGGTTAGACAGTTTGCTTAGGGACCTACAAACTGCAAAAGGACATGGTAGTCATGACACTGAATCTAAAAATGGAAACAATGATGGAAACAGGCAAACCTCTTTTCTTAAACTTCTGATGAAGGAGGCTAAGCGACAGCTTTATCTCGGTTGTGCCAAATTTTTAAAGTTCTCCTTTGTGGTAAAGCTACTTCATATGAAGTCATTTTATAGGATTACCAACACTGCATTTTCTGCATTCTTGAAGCTACTAGCTGATGCATTCTCAGAGTTTAATACACTACCAACATCATACCATGAAGCAAAGAACATTATAAAGGAATTAGGTCTTGGATATGAATCGATCCATGTGTGCTACAACAACTGCAATCTGTTTCGAAAGGATTAATCTAATCATGACAATTGCCTAGTTTGTGGTTTGTCAAGATGGAAAGACCCATAGAGGAAGAAGATTCCACAGAAAGTGTTGAGGCATTTTCCATTGGTGCCTAGGCTACAGAGGCTATTTGTAACCAAGGAGGGCTCAAAACAAGCACAATGGCACAAGTTAAAGAGGCAGCCTAGTGAGAAGGAAATGAGTCATCCAGCTGATGGTGAGGCATGGCAAGATTTTGATAGGGAATATCCATATTTTGCTGAAGAAGCTAGAAACCTAAGACTTGGGCTAGCTACTGATGGATTCAATCCCTTTGGCAATTTTAACACGAAGTACAGCATGTGGCCTGTATTTGTTGTGCCATACAACCTTCCACCTTGGGCATGCATGGATCATTCCAATCTAATGATGGCTCTGTTGATTCTAGGTTCGCATTCCCCTGAGAAAGACTTTGATTTATTTTTACAGCCTCTTGTCGAAGAATTGATTGAGCTTTGGAAGGGTGTGCATACTTATGATGCCATTATTGACAAAGAGTTCAAACTTCGTGCAGCAGTGTTATGGTGCATTCATGATTACCTAGCTCTGGCTACTTTGTCTGGGAATACCACGAAAGGCTATTTTGCTTGTATTCACTATGGCAAGAATCCTCTATCTTATGCACTAAGGAATAAAATTGCATATATTGGACACTACTGTTTCCTACCAAGGGGACATCGTTTGAGGAGGACCAATGAATACAGTGGCCTTCATGGAACCAATGATCCGCCAGGTAAATTTACCAAAGAAGAGCTACTAGCAGAATTAGAGAAGGTTACACATGTCAAACCTAGGATCAAGCAAAAGGAGAGCAGGAAAAGGAAGTGTTGTGCCTTGGATAGTGACAAGACTGCAAATGTGAAAATTTGGAGCAGGAGAGTTTGTTTGTGGGATTTGGAGTATTGGAAAATTTTAAAGGTTAGACATAATCTAGATGTCATGCACATTGAGAAGAACATATGTGAGAGCTTGGTTGGCACAATTCTCGATATACATGGGAAGACAAAGGACACAGTGAATGCTAGGCTTGACTTTAGTGATTTAGGAATTAAAGAAAAGTTGCAGTTCAGAGATGAAGGAGATACTTCTAAGATGCCTAAAGCTAGATACACCTTGTCTAAAGAATAAAAGGTTGCCTTTTGTAATTTTTTACAGGAGGTAAAGTTTCCAGATGGCTACGCTTCGAACATATCAAGATGCGTTAATGCTGATGGAAGCAAGGTACAAGGCCTAAAAACACATGATTGTCATATTCTTTTGCAAAGAATCTTACCTGCTGCTTTAAGAGGCTTTGTTGATAAGGATATATATGAAGCAGTAGCTGAGTTGGGAAACTTTTTTAGGCAATCGTGTAGCAAAACTCTGAACAAGGATATGTGTTTGAGAATTATGCTACATGGTTTGTATTAAAGATTTCAGAAGCACATGTAAATTGCAACAGAAAGGCAGAAATGTAGGATACAAATTGGATTGTTGACTAATGGGATGTGTAATTATGCCTAGTTAATGTGATGGCACTTTGCTTCTATATGATCTTTACTGTATTACATGTTATTGAAGATCACATGCTCATGCAAGTTGCTTGTTTTTTCACATTGAATTAAGTGTTGCATACATGTTAGTAATAGTGACCATTCTACAGGGAGAGAAATACAAAGACCGGAAACCTGATGCAGTGGATATGTTCAAGGAGTGCCACTACAGTAAAAAAGGCTACACACTAGATGTCTAGCTTGCTATTGTAAGTTAATTTTCAAAAAAAAAAGCTCAGCCTTAATATCTGTTGTTGTATCTCGTGAACCATGTGTTTTTACTTGCACTACTAGGATCAAATGGAAAACAAGCTGTCCGGACATGCAGAAGATGAAGAGGCCCCTTCCGTGACAGAGATAGTTGCTGGTGTGCTTGCTGAGAACACCAAGGAAACCACATTTCTGCAGAATGTGGGGATTCAGAGCAAAAAGAAAGGCACACTTAAAGAGCAACTAGCTGCAGAGAAGTTGGCAAAGGCTGGGCTCAAATCGCAAATGGAAGAGTTGTCGAAGAAACTACAAGAATTTGAGCAAGCAAGGTTGACAGACAAACAGGAGATGGCAAGGAACCAAGCTGAGACTAATGCAAAACTTGACCTTCTGTTAAGTCAGATTGGACACACCTAGCTAACTGGGTAAGATGGTCTGGGTCTCTTGGCAACATTGTTGCTTTTTTGTTGCATCATTTCTGATCCTGCTACTGTTGCTTGGCTATGGTGTTGTAGTGGGCAAAGTGCTATTTCTGCTCTTGCTGCTGCTGAGCTAGTTATTAGCTCCTTTTGTTGTGATGAAAACTTTGATGCTAGAGTGACCAATGCCTTGGACATGTGCTGGATTGGCTGTTAATTACTGTCATGTGCTTGTGGACGGGTCTTAATTATGTTGTATGAGATGTGATGACAGTTGTAATTTGGTGATCTAGAATATTTGTCTGATGAGAACATGTGTTAAGTAATAATGATGAGAACATTTGTCAATTAGTGATGATGCGAACTAGTGTTAATTAATGATGATTGGTAATTAATTTTGCTAAAATTATGGATGAAATATTTGTATTTTGCTAAATCTAGCAGCAGCCCAATTTGAGCTGGGCTGAAATCTAGAAGTAGCCCAATTTGAACTGGGCTGCATGACCACTAAAAGGCCAAAAAAACTCCACTAAAAAGGCCCCAAAAAATCATATTGGCCCAAAACAATAAAGGGCCGAAAGCTCCTAGAAACCCGAATTGGGCCACAAAACTCCTGGGCTAAATCCTACGTGGCACCGATGACACATCAGCGTACACCTTGGCAAACACATGGCTGCTTACATGGCGACTCAAATTTGTGATGGAAAAAAATCCTACGTGGTAGCCTATCTGTGACGAAAAATTTCGTCACAGGTTACCGGGCTCAGCCCAGCCCCCAAAGTGTGGGTTGAGTGGACTTCCGGGGCATCCGTGACAATCGAAATCCGTCATAGATGGCTCGTAGTTAATTTGTGACGCTCGATACATGATAAAAAAAATCCATCATGGGTGGCCATCTATGACGGATTTCGGGGCTTTTATGACGGATTGAATCCATCATGTATCAACTCCATTTTTGTAGTGGTTGCATGCTTTTGTTCATAATGTTTCATCTGTTTCTAGATGTATGTTGTATTTTGATCTGGATATTGCATATGTTTTCACATATATGTTGCAACAGTATGTTCCAAAATATTTCATCTGTTTTAGTCTTCTGTTGCAGCAAGTGTTTAAATGTTGCAAGTTGCAAGTGTGTTTATCTGGATGTTGCATATATTTTCATACATATCACATATGATGCAATTGTTTTATCTTGATGTTGTGTATGTTTACAATGGTTTCAAGTGTTTTTCAGGTGTTTTTGCAAGTGTTCCAAATGCATATTTCAAATGTTTTATTTGTTTTCAAATGTATATTGCAATTGTTGCATCTGGATGTTCCAAAACTAGATCGATTGTTGCATCGCCCTCCTCGCCTTTCTGCTGTCTTGCCTTGGTGTCAGGCGTGGGAAGGCGGAGGCGGTCCCCACTAGCACGGGTGGGCCCCACGTGCTCGTTGGTGGGCGCGGCAGGCGAGATGTGGGCGGGCAGGCATGGGACGCAGGACAGGGGGCAACGGCGCAGGCGTCCGGACGGGGGGCTAGCATCCGGACGTCCGGGCGCTAGCCACTGCCTTTATGTTATTATGGACCTGTTTTGCTTTCTTTTTCAATGGGTAATTTATATATAGACCATGAAAATTAAGATGGGGAGGACAAGAGTGAAATCAGAAAGGTTCCAGGCCATACAGGAGAGACTGAGTAAGCATTTATCTACATATACTGAGAAAGAGTTATCTATGTGTGGAAAAGAAATAATGATAAAGGCGATGGGACAGGCCATTCCTGTATATATTATGAGCATCTTTAAATTGCAGGATGGGGTGTGTGATCAGATGGAACAAACCATCCGGAATTTTTGGTGGGGCACAAAAAATGGAAAAAGAAAAGTACATTGGACTGCTTGGTGAAAATTGACATGAGCAAAAAGTAGATGAGGGCCGGGCTTCAAAGATCTCAAGCTTTTCAACCAATCCATGCTAGCACGTCAGGCATGGAGGCTCTTGGAATACCCTGACAGCTTATGTGCAAGAGTTCTAAAAGCCAAATACTACCCCAATGGTGACCTTATTGACACTGCCTTACCTTCAGTCATCTGACCAACCTGGAGACCTATCACTCATGGCCTTGATCTCCTGAAAAAGGGACTCATATGGAGAGTTGGTAATGGGGATAAAATTCATATCTGGAGGCATAATTGGATTCCAAGGCAAACTGGTCTACAAGTTACAGGAAAAAGACGACCCTGCCGTCTAAAAAGAGTTGGCCAACTATTAAATGAGTCTATAACCCAATGGGACTAGAATCGAGTGGATCACTTCTTCCTCCCTGATGACAGAGAGGTGATCTTGAAGATAAAAGTCCACGGTCCGGATCGTGGGGATCTACTTGCTTGGCACTATGAAATATCAGGTATCTCCACAGTCCACAGTGCATACCGGCTTGCTGTACATTTGAGGGACAGAGAAAATAGTACCTATTGCAGCAGCAGCGTGAACCCTTCAGGGAACAGAACTTTGTGCAAGTCACTCTGGAAGCTTAATGTACCACAGAAAATAAAAAGTCTTTCTATGGCGAGTGGTGAACCATGGCTTGGCAACGAGGCTAACCAAATGGAAACGCCCCTTAGAAAAGGATAATATGTGTAAGTTGTGTGGGCTACAGGTTGAATCTGAATTCCATGCCTTGGTGATGTGCGATCTGTTAGATTGATCTCCACCCGGCTCGGTCCAACGACCGAGTCGTACCCTAACTCGCGTCCTGATCGGGGGCGCCCAGCTGTTCTCCTGGCTGGTGGGCCCCCGTCGTGCAGCGCTATGAATAGGAGATGGGGGCTAGGGCTCAAGACATGAGGTTCACCGCGGCCGCCAGTTCCCACCGACATCCTAACCCTAGTCCGATCGAGAGGGCACGCTGTGAGCGACGTGAAGCTCCACCGCTTTCACCGCCACCACTGGACCACGCCTCCACTACGCCTTCGACACTGCCACCGGACTCCACTGCTACCCTACACCAACACCCACGTCATCAACACCTATGTCATGGCTTCCTCCTTCGATCAAGCCCACCGATGGTCTGCCTCTCTACATCCCTCTCTCCCCCTCTAGTTCTCTCTCTAGGACGAACTACTTGTTTATCCTAAATAGAAGAGAAAACCCCACTGATCTACGCCTAGATGATCCTAGAAATCTATCAATAGTATCAGAGAAGGTTTCTCCTAGTGTGTAGATCGAGTCTGGGGTAGAAAAGTGAAAAGAAATTAGAAGAAGATGAAAGATTTCCAAGTTTTCCCAAACTCTAACCCTAGATCACAAGAACGGAGAGGAGGAAGGGACCTACCTGGGTTCTTCCCCGCTATTGCGACCGTCGTCGCGTGGGAAGATAGGGTCGACTGAGCCACCGGCTCGCCGGCACTCCGCCGCGCCGTGTGCACAGGCGTGCGGGCTCAGGGTGCCGACGCGAGGCCACCCGACGGCGGCGTGCTCTACCAATCGGGGGTGCGCGCTCCACCGAGGGGGCCCACGGCGGCGCCGCATCCTCCTCTGGCTACCACACGTGGGCGTCGCTCCATCGTCTTCGGGCACCGCCGACGAGAGAGGGTCGAGGGGGAGAAAGAGGAATGAGGCTAGGGTTGGGGGAGGCCAGCCAGGAGGGGGGTGTTTTTTTGTTCTCCCGATCGGTGCACAAGGTCGTCGGATCGTGATCGATGGCCGGCAGAGGTCGGGCCGCCTTTAGGCCCAGGCGGGAAGGAGAATTCTCGGCCCAGGCCCAGGTTGCGGCCTGGGCACCGAGGAGCGGGCGCGCACGCCGCACGAAGCAGCCCGCTGGGCTGAGATTCGCCGCTGGTACACCGTGTTTTGCTGGGCCGCGCACTGCTATTACGGAATGGGCCGCAGACTGTGTTCCCCAGGCCGGGCCAAATGAACAGTAAACGCTGATTTTAAGTTTTATCCTTTTCAGAAACACATTTTGATGAATTTGTTTTGATGTTTCATCTCTACTCAAATTTGAACCAACGGAATAATTTATTTAGAGAGTAGATAAGTACACAGTGATGCTTCTGAATAAGCATTATTTCAAGAATTTTTTCACGTTTCCATTGTAAAGAAGGTGATGATTATCTTCTAATTAAATTCGAACCAACGGGAGGATTTAATTTGAAGAGCAGTTATATTTATTCAGTAAATTATGATTATGTTTATCCTCTAATTAAATTGGAACCAATAGTAAATTTTAAATTAGAGAAGTAGTCCAGTTTATTTTAAGTTAAATTATAATATTGTTATTTTCTAACCAATGTCGATGATAACAATATTGTAAGTTGATTAATGAGTTTTTTCATGCATTAATTTTATTTCTGTCCAACGGTGATATAGAATTAATGTAGAAGAATATTGTATTTATGATATTGCTATTTTCTAACGAAAGTTGATGATAGCAAAGTTGATGATAGCAATATTATAATTTTTTATTTATGAGTTTGAGTTTGAAGTTTAAATCTCTGATAAATTTTACACCAGCGTGGTTAATTTTTAGAGTAGATAAGGATCAAGAAATACTCCTGAACTAATAGAATGTATTTTATTCTCATGTTTCCACTTCAATGATGTTAATTATCTTCTAATTAAATTTGAACCAACGGGAGAATTTAATTTTGAAGAGTAGTTATATGTCTTTCAAGTTAATTTATGAGTTTTATGCATTAATTTTATTTTCTGCTCAACGGTGATGTAGAATTGATTCAGAAGCACCTTGTATGTTTTAATTTTAACCAACGAGATCACTCAGCTACATACCAACGGGCTGCAATGCTGAGCTATGTGAATGAAAAGGCTTGAGTTAAGCTAGTTTTGGACTGTTTTTTGTTAGTTTATTAATTTTCTGATTAAATTGGAACCAACAAGAAGATTTAATTGAAAATAAAGTATAAGTGAATGTTTTAGTCGTCATGACTAAGTTTTTGTTATAGTTAATAGTATATATTTTTTTCCATCATTATGATAAGAGTTGCAATAAGTAAC